ATCGTGGGACTTCTGTGAGAAGCGTTAGAGCTCTGGCTGTGGACCTTATTCAGCCTATGTGCCGAACTGAAATCTACAGGCGCTCCTTCGCATGCTCTGCTATTGCTATGTGGAATAAAATTCCTCCACATTTACGTATTACTCAATCTATTGATTTATTTAAGAATTTGATGTTTGCCTATTTATTGGATGGTTGCTGCTCTTAGGAATTATAGACGTAATTAATTAATGTCAGTCTATCTATATTTTACTCTGTATTTTACTATAGTTATTGTTAATATTACTATCTTTTTCTTCTTATTTTTATCTATTTTTCTTTTGTTTATTTTGTATATATTGTATATGTTTGTTGAATTTATTATTATGTTAAATTACTTTCATAGTTTATTTTGTATTTTGTATTTTTGCGCTTAAGGGGATTTTATCCCGGAGCGCTGAATAAATAATGCTTTCTCTCTTTCTCTCTCTCTCTCTCTCTCTCTCTCTTTCTCTCTTTGTTGGTGTACTCGTCGCGCGAAACGTGGCGGCGTCGAGTCGAGCGTACGCGCGCGCGACTTCTTATCGTCGGCGCGTTCAATGCATAAAGCATAAAGTTCGTATCTCATGCATACATTCATAGAACCGTCGGTACGGCAACGACGACGGTGGGAGCGAGACGAAAGTCATAACTTACGGGTGTGCGTCCCGCATTTCTCTCGCACTTTCCCTACCTACCCTACCTACCGTGTGTGCGTTCTCTATCGCGCGCGATTCTCCGCGTGTACCCTCTTCGTGTACGTATCCCCGATTCCGCGGTAACTACCGCGTCACTCCGAAAGATATCGGAGTCGCCGTTGCAAAATCAGCGGAGGGTGACTGAGACACGTATGACGCCCGGGCACTTTGCACCGAGAGAAGGTTCTCTTTGGGTTGCGCTCAAAATTCCATTTTTCCCACGGAAAAATTCCATTTTTCTATCCGGGGGTTTCGTTTCCTCCTCCTTTTCTATCTCGGGGCCGATTCATTGAAAAATAGTCCACTTTACCGCGCGCGACCTCTTTTTGCAATAAATCAATCGCGCTCTTCCGACTGTGCCCTATAACCATTCTCTTCCGCTGCCCCTCCTTCTCTCTCTCTCTTTCTCCCTTCCCCTCGTCCCATCTTCCATTTTTCTTCAACGTGGCTCGCCTCCTCCTTAACTCGCCTCGATGCACCGGCCGAGAGCGTCGGATTGTCTTCCGAGATGACTGCTGACAAATAGCGAATCGATCCCGCCGCGTTACCGCCATAAAGCTGCCGCAACGAAACACCGTTTTGATGCTTTATGGGCATCGCGCGTCGCATCGCCCAGCCGTCGGCGAGATGACATCGTCGGGATGGATGTGCGCACCGCCGGCTTGGATTGGTAGCCGCGAGAAAGAGCGAGAGAGAGAGAGAGAGGAGCGATACTCGCGTTTTATTCAGAGGATGGACCGAAAACGCGGACGGCCGCGCGTGACGCCTGTTCGTTTCGGCATCGCGCGTTTTAAACTTCAACATGCGAATTTTCCTCGTGTGGCTCGCACAATAGAATTTTGGAAGGCTACTAAAAGTGAGGTCTTGTCTTGTCAATCTCGCGGAGTGTCACGATCGCGCACGGTCGACTGACATAGAAAATTCTTTTATTCTTCGTTTTTAAATCCGAACAATATAAATCGCACAAATTTGCGTTTAATTTTTTACAATTTCCATTCAAACAAACGAAAAAAAAAGAAAATATCATTGTTTGTGATAAATGCGAAACGTGAATATATATATATGTATTTGTTTATTTTTATTTTATTTCAAAGATAGAACAGGCAATCACTTTTGCGCGGCTTTAATCGCGCTATTAGCGCATTGTAAAAGTTGCGGTCCTCTTTCGCGTAAGTGATAGCTCGCAGATTGATTTGCGTTGGGAGCAGGTGCGGCCGTTGCGGAATCGATGGCGGCTCGTCGACACTTTCTTTCATCGCGTGACATGCGAGGGAATAAAAATTCCTCATCCGCGGTTTTATCGACATCGCGAAATGAGTCGGCGGATATCCCGTCAACGAGGAAAAAGCCGCGCTAAAAAGACGTAAAAAGAGCACAGTGTGTTGTCTGCGCTTGTATAAGAACGGTATGAAAGATAAGACACGTTGAATATTTTTATTCTTTTTTATTACAATTATTATACTAAAATGTGAGATAAATATTTATTATCTCTCATAAAAAAATATCCATGTGTACCGCAAAGTGTTTTTGAGTCGAATGTATCGCATCTATTGTTGCTTTCTTTCCGCGTTGCCAATTGGTTAGTTGGTTGATCGAGTCGAGTCAAGTCGCATCGAATAGCAATAGGTAAGATCGAGAGAGTAAATAATAACAGAAAAGCGATTTTGATAATTCGTCGTATACGTGGAGAAAATTAAAAACGTGACTAAAGTAAAGTCACCTAACGGGAAAGAGTAGAAAAACAACACGTGACTAAAGTAACGTGACTGTAATTTATATTATATATAACATTAAATAATATATATTATACGTATAATTTATTATACATTTAGAATATTCTACTTTATTGTGTATTATATGTATTATATACATACTACAGTAAGATTACTGACCTCGGTCGCGTAACCGCGGCGTGGTCACTCACCGCGGTCGCGTGACCGCGGCGGGGTCACTGATCTCGGTCGCGCAACCTTTGCGGGGTCACTGACCTCGGTCGCGCGACCTTGGCGGGGTCACTGACCTCGGTCGCGCGACCTTGGCGGGGTCACTGACCTTGGCCGCGCGACGGCGGCGGGGTCACTGACTTTGGTCACGTGATTACGGTATACATATATGTGTGTGTGTATTATATATAGAGATACAGATTATTATATATAAAATATATATAATATATAATATATTATATATAATATATATGTAATATTCTCTTTTTTACTCTTTTCCCTGTCACGTGACTTTAGTCATGGTGTTTTTCCACTTCTCACGTTTTTTCATTTCTTTTATTTTTTTTATTTTTTGCGTTTGATTTTCATGCGCTATTTCTGACAACTCTCTAATGTGTATCATATGGTTTGTAAGACATATCGTCACTCCCTACGTATAATCCCGTAACTCCAAAACGCAAATTTTAGAGGAGAGCAGTTTAAAAGTATAAAGCTTCATATGTTTCCCTATAGTTAGGGATCTTTCGGTTTCAAATTTGTACCTTATTTATGAATATTTTTTTTTAATATTTGGTGAGACCATAAAAAACATGACTTTCTAAGTGTCATTATGCAATAAACTGAAAATCCCATATGTGACACTTATGTAATTATACGTAGGGAGTGACGATATATACTAGATATCATCGCGGTGACGTGATTGTGTTCACTGACATAAGACGGTAAAATAAAAACAATAATAGCGTGCGCGTAATGCGCGCGCTTGTGTTATGCTAGTAAAAGAAAATACGCACATTTATACATACGTATAAATGTTTTTATTCCACACACAAAAAATTCATCTCTCTTCAAGTATAAAATATAAAAATACTTTTCTGTTTTTTTTTTTTTTTCATCTCTTTATCTTTTGAACTGAAAATGCCAGAAAATATTATTCGGCGGCGGGCTTTGCGTGATGCTTAATCGGCCTTTACGCTTCATTGTTCATGCGCGCCCCTTCATTAGAGCCGAACCGCCGCGCGTGCGACGCCTTCGCGATTTTCAACGGAATAACGGAGAGATGCACCACTCTCGGCGTGGCTCCTTTAATTGGTGATAGGATAACCACGGGGGTGGTCATTAATTACAGCCGGCAAGCCTCTGGCGTTGCGGTTAGTTTACTTCGGAGCTACTTTCGATCTCTCTCTCTCTCTCTCTCTCTCTCTCTCTCTCTCTCTCTCTCTCTCTCTCTCTCTCTCTCTGTCCCTCTTTCCTTTTACTCTTTCTCCGCTTTTACTGTGCTTCTCTCCGCTCTCGCGCGGCTGCTCTTTTTTTTCCCCACTCTGACCCTTTCATTCGTGCGACGTCGTGGATATCGAAAGAGTTAAGGCGATCGATAATTAAAATTGACGCGTTCTCTTTCTCGTTCTTCTTTCTTCGGTGGCGAAGAAGCAAGACAAAGAGAAAAAGAGAGAGAGAGAGAGAGCAGAAAGAGAACGATGCAGATTATAGCGGAAAATAAATCTTTCGCGTTGGAAACTGCGAATCAGCCCGGTGAGAAACTGCTGAGTCAATTTCTCACGATCGGCAAACTAGCATACTCACTACCGTGCAATCATGAGCAATTTGTGCGGCGAGTCAATCGAAGAGTTCGGTTCTTCTTTCGTTGCAGAAAGATCGCTAAATCGTTGATAAAAATGCAATAAAACCTGACGTCGTTTTCGCTCAATGTTGAGCGCGTTCGAGTTTCTAATTTTTTAACGATATTATTTAAAACAAACTTTTAGCGACTTACGTCGCAATGCTCACACAACGATGTAAAACAAACCCTCCCTCTTTTGTGTCTGTTCTCAGATCGCCGACTGGTGTCCCGAAGATCATCAGAAAACTGGTCAACTCTCATGGCAGCGCGGAAACTCGCAGCCCTCTTCGCCGCGGTCCTGCAACTTTGCTTATGTAAGTAAAATCTCTCTCTCTCTTCTTTCTTCACGTCCGCCGCTCGAAGTGAGAGAGAGAGAGAGAGAGAGAAAGAGAGAGAGAGAGAGAGAAAGAGATACACAGAGTTTCTCACAATCCGTTTATCAAACTTAGATTGTTTGAGTTACGCGCCAGATATCAATAACGCATTCCAAATATTGGAAGTGGAACTTCACGCGCAAACCTTTAAGTTTTCCAATTTTGCAAAACAAATAATTATCCGTATCCGTACCGGCGGATTTTATTTTTTCCAAACACGCGTTGCTGGCGAATCTGATCGCACAGATCGATTACTCTTGGATTTTTTGAAGAAAAAACAAAAAAAGAAAAAACAACGTTGGATTAAATATCCGGAATAACCGAGGACGGGGCTATTTTATAGCGCGTCTCTCTCGTCTGTCGTATATAGACGAGATATTTCTGATCGCGCGCTCTTCTTCGAGCGTTTACCCTTCTTCTTCCTTTCGCAACGTCATCCGGACGTCAAGGTATTTCCGCACCCGGCAAGATCCATCGGCGGTTCCCGTAATTCAATGAAAGAACTGAAGGAAGGAGGAGGGTTGGAGGAAAGAGAAGGCGAAATGGACCGCCGTTGACGGGGTCGAGACCGCGTCACGCTGTCGCCGTGACGATAGAAAAGGAACGAGATTGAACCGGGCCGGGTGGAAAAGGTGAATCGAAAGGAGCGCTCGTTTACGAGCGCAGGCGCGCGTCTCGCCTGCTCAAATCCCGCATGACTTTCATGAGGAAGCCACGGAAAATTCTCCCGATGTCGTACAACAGCTTTCCTTTCCGCGATATTGTTTGTTCGGCGAGTGTGTGTGTGTGTGTGCGCGCGCGCGCTCTCCCAAGAGCTACATTCAAACGGAAATAACACTCGAATATTTGCTGCGGCATACGCGATGTAAATATGAACGCAGTTGTGACTGTAGATAGCCGATATAAAAGAGCCCGCGTGTGCGATATATATTTCGCATAATATTTATTTCGCAGAATATTTACTCAACTCATTGATATTTTCCCATACGTTCTCCCCCTCCCCTTCCCCCATGTTTTCTCACGAATCAGTTACGGAGCAAGGAGAGTTTGACACTTATACTCGTTGCTAAAAATATATATACTCGGTGTGTTAGAATCTATCGCGCGCCAAGACACATATCGAGTTTTTGCTCGCTTTTCGAGATTCCGACTTCATCCCCCTCATCTTAAAGTGGGTCCCGCATGTGTCACGCGTATAAACCTTCTCCCGTATATACATTATTATTATTATACAACACACATCCTGAGGCCTTCTCTCATATGCACGTTTGTCAGAGGCCCGAGGCCCTCGTGTAATCCACCCACTACCCCTTCCCCCCCCCTCCCGTCCGTGAGCTTTGGCCCGAGAGTCGACGAAGTTCCGTTGTAAGCCGCGGTCGTAAGACGGCAACGGATGTGGGCCTCGCTCTCTCTCTCTCTCTCTCTCTCTCTCTCGAGAAGCGGAGAGAGAGAGAGCGCGGCGCGTCGGCCGTTGCCACTCTCGGGCTCTGAATCTCCCGGCCGCCCGGTTTATATCCGCGCTGCGGTGGCGCGAGCGCCGCAACGACCCTACGAGGACGATACATCGTCGACCGGGGGGGTATAGCCCCGGCGCGTGAGGGAGTTTGCAGAATCCACTTAAATCCACCGTGATTTACTCGGGCACGCCGCGTCCAACTCCCTCTCCTTTCTCTCTCTCTCTCTCTCTTCTCTCTCTCTCCCCCGCGATCCCGTTGTACCCTCTACGATGGGATGCAGTCGCAGCCGCAATAAGTAACCGAGCCCTCGGGCTTTTCTCGGGCCTGGACGGAAACGTTAAGAAGGATTCGTCAGTCGATGGCTTTAAACCTTTGGCAATAACCTTGCACATTTAACCCGACGTGACTTGATATTTTCTCTCAGTGGCAGGAACTGTTTATTTATTTATTTTTTGTTTGTTTTTTGCGCGCGCGCGCGTGTTTTATATGCAGGTACATCACACGTAGATATAAATTATCATATGTAATTTTTGTTTTATATTCTTTTCTCTTCTAGCTCCATACTTTGCGTTGCTACAACGCGGGATGCGCCGCGCATTTCTCTAAAAGAGAGTTGTAGATAGGAATCGCGAGAGAGAACGTTTCTTTGACTGAGCTTTTCTAAGGTGATTATGTAATAGTGTTTGTCTGTGTGTGTGTGTGTATAATATATATACATATATATATATATATATGCGTACATATACGCGAAGATTCCGTGATGAGTATTAAAGTGCCCGACTCTTTTGTTCGTCGAGAATTAAAATGACGGAGTCGCTTGAGGGGATTAGACAGGAAGAGAGGAGGGTCGTAATTAAATTCGCCAGTACTTCTTATTTTTAACTGACGGTCTTATTACTGTGCCGGACCGCTTTCTTTATTTTACTTCCGATATACTTTCGCTCGCCTTTCGCGAAAAAGGGCAAAATCGGCACACGAAATGGCATTGCGAGCCGAGGAATTTCTTTGGATCTCTTTCTCTCCGTGGGAATTTGCGAGATTTTTTTTTTTTTTTTGTTTTTTTTTGCGGAGCACGTTTCGCGTGCTCTGTCTGGCGAGCTTCGAGTGTATGTACTCGCGACGGGGAAAAAAAAAATTATTTTTTTTTTTACTCAAGAGAGGAGATTATAACGCGACAAGCGTATATGACGCGTGTATTTTTGCGTGAATATCGACGGACGTTATCACGCGCTCGGCAATTTTTCCAGATTTGCTTTAACTTGTATTTTTTGTTTGCGGGCGCGCGCTAATTAACAGGCGCATATCGCGCCCGGAAATGAGAGTGCGTCGCAAAAATGCGCTACACGCGCGACAACGTAGCCGCGCGATAGCACATACAAACGCGATTATACGCGTTAACGTAATAATTACAAATGTCGACGTTGATGCACTTCGTCTAATGGCGCAATCTGCGATGGCGCAACCGTGATGCGTATTATAATCTCTTTGCGCATATCTGAAAATAATATATATTTTTCAATCCCGATGTTTTTTAATCCTCACTCCCGGCAATTCATTAACATTATTTTCTTTTTTATTTCTTTCGTCACACGTAAGTGCAAATATCCGTATATATGTGTGTATATGTTGGAAAAGTGAGTTCGGTTTTAGTCTACCTTTTTTTTAAAAAAAAAACAGTTTTTTAAAAAGTGTTACCTGCCAGTCGATTTTTTTTGGCGCATTTATCTTTTAAGACTTCTTAATCACGCAATAACGCGCGTATCCTCGTCATCAAATTTCACGTCGAGATTTACGAGCTCTTTGAGTTTGCAAAGAAAAAATTTCTTTTATATATCGGTTTTTGACTGCCTTTCCGGAGTTTCTTTCTTGAAGTCGCGAGAGAGGAGAGACGTCGCTTCGATCCGTTCCATCTTCATCGGCGGTCGACGCGGATGATGACACGCGGGAAAGAGTGTGCCAGCTTCCATTTTCAATATCGCGCCGACAGTCGCCTTCAGAATCCTCGTTCTCGTGGCGTAACCCAAGCGAGTCCCGGGCGTTCGTCAACCGCTCGCGACGTTATCAGCGATTCACCGGTTGCCGCATCGATTTCTATGCGGATGTACTTATTGAAATGCAATAAGCTGAACCGAGGTCGAATATATCTCATCCGTCGTAAAAAAAAAAAAAAAAAAAAAAAAAGAAACTACATTTTGTCTCATTGTCCATTTTATTCTCGTATCGGAACACGTAAATCAATTCGGTTATGAAAAATACATTTGTAATTTTACACTGCATTCTTCTAAAAATAAACTTTGCATATTTTTTACATTCATAATTATTACATCACCGTGTTTGTAATTTGTTATTTTTATATTCTAATATAATTTATTTATTTATTTATTACATATTTATTTTTCATGTCTAGAGAGAGAGAGCGCGAGAGATTGATTAATTGATTCTGCTTTATTTATCGCTCTGAGATAATATTCCCTCAAGCGTATTTGACCAATAACATAATAAAAAAGTAAAAACAAAATAATAAGAGAGAGTAACAAAACAAAATATAAAAATAAAACGAATAAAAGTAACAAAATAAAGAAAAGAAAAGAGAGAGAGAGAGAGAGAGAGAATTTTAAAAACCAAAGTATTTTGACTATCATGAAAACAGTTCATAAATGTACTGTTTTCGGAACTTTCAAAAAATATTGTACCATGTATGATAATCTGTTTTTTTTTGTTTTTTTTTTTACGCACAGATTTCTAAATATTCAATGTATTGATATATTTGTTACGAAAACAGTGTAAAAAAAAAGATTGAGCAAATACATCTTGATTTGATATTGGCGCCGTATTTAGCGTGCCGGAGTGTGTTGTTCGCAACCAAATATATCGGGAGCCACGTATGATTCTCGTAAAGCAACGGCGCGATAAGTTACGCGCATAAACATCGAGCGTTTTCATTACAGAAGCTTAAGCCATTCGTTACGGGCTTGTGTGCCATTCAAAGAAGCGTAATTTATGAGAAATGAAGTCTAACGTGCGATATATATATATATATATTTATTGCACATGTGGCGCACGTTATTTAGACGCACCGTTCAATTTTATATTCGTTGCTGCATCTATTTAATTCTAGCAGAAAAGAAAACACACACACGTGTTTTTGCGAAAACGCTACGTTCTTGAAAAATTAAAAACAATATATGAGACTTAGGAATTTTTTTAGTATTTGTTTTTTTGCGCAATTTTCTTTAGCATCTTTGTGCGAATGGCATTTCACGAGAAATAATTCCGGTTTTGATTTCCCCGAGGGTGTGTGTGCGGCGCGCGCGACAAATATATCAAAACACAAAGTGCTTTTCACGTTACAACGTCCCATCTTGACGACATCGAACGCCGTACCGTCGAAGTTCGCGGACGCATGTAATCCCGGGTAATCCGTCAAGCACGGCGGACGGTAACTGGCGCTGTTACGATATGGGCAAAGTTTGTTCCCGGGAA